ACTACACCATTTACTCATAACTTTACCTATGGTGCACTGTTTAGTGAGTCCACCTGCAAGAATGTACAAGGATTCTCATTCAAGAAAAAATTTTCTGTGGTTTATGGGATAATCTGACTTTTCACAAGAGAAATAACTGTGTGTTTTGTTGGGAGCATGTTGTGGAATGTAGGGACTGAGTGTATCTATGCATTTCCTGGCCATGAGAATTTTTTTCATAGATGTTTAGGGGTTGTTACTATATGTTGTATTTGCCAAAATCAACATCAAGTGTGAGATCAGAAGTGTGATTAAGTGTGAAAATTAAACAATAGTATCACATTTGCTAGGGTAAAATATACCTATTTATTTAACCCAATGTGAAATAAGCAGCTGAATAACTCAGAGGGGGAGGGTGTAAATTAAAAAGCTGCCAAGTAACTTATAGTATGGCCATATTATAACATTGTTCAAGGTAGACCTAACAGTGCATAACATAATATCAAATATATGCTAAAAATACTAAGAAAACTGTTACGCAAGCCAGTACATAGAATGTGATGACAGATAAGAACCATGGAACCCATCTAGTCTGCCAAATTTTATCAATACTTTCATTAGTCCCTGGCTTTTTCTTATTTGTAGGATAGCTTTATGCCTATCCTACGCATGCTTAAAGGGACACTCCAGGCACCCAGACCACTTCTGCCCATTGGAGTGGTCTGGGTGCCAACTCCCACTACGCTTAACCCTGCAAGTGTAATTATTGCAGTTTTTATAAACTGCAATAATTACCTTGCAGGGTTAAGTCCTCCTCTAGTGGCTGTCTACTAGACAGCCACTAAAGGACACCTCCGTGTTCATAGAACACGAAAAGTGTGTTATAACGGCGCTGGACGTCCTCACGTTGTGAGGACCTCCAGCGTCGCCGAAATCCCCATTGGAAAGCATTATCCAATGCTTTGCTAGGGGGAGGTCTAATGCGTGTGTGCGCGGCATTGCCACGCATGCGCAATAGGTCTCCCCTGCCGGCGTCAAGGAGTCTGACCCAGCGCTAAGGGATATAGGCGCTGGATACAGGTAAGTCACTGAAGATGTTTTAACCCCTTCAGCAACTTGGGGTGGGAGGGAGAGGGGACATGCAGTGCCAGGAAAACGGTTTGTTTTCCTGGCTATGGAGAGTCCCTTTAAACTCCCACACTGTTGACCTCTACCACTTCAGCTGGAAGGCTATTCCATGCATCCATAACGCCCCCTCTGTAAAGTAATACCTTATATATTTAAATGTTTTTATCATATTCCCTCCCACCCCGCGTCTCGTCTTTTCTCCAAGCTATTCATGTTGATTCTTTAACCTTTTCTGGTTTTACCCTGCAATCCATTAACCAGTTTTGTTGCCCTTCTCTGAACTCTCTCTAAGGTATCAATATCCTGCTGGAGATACGGTCTCTAGTACTGTGTACAATACTCCAAGTGAGGTCTCACCAGTGCTTTGTACAATACAACCAAGCATTCTGCTAGCATTTCCTGCTGCTCTAATCCATTGTCTGCTATCTTTAAATCATCTGAAATAATTACACCTAAATAATCAGATTTTTAGGTTAGGGCTGTATCAAATATTCTGTTCTCAGGTTTTTACACTAAAGATGCATGATCTTTCACTTGTCAAAGCTCTGCCCGTTTTTCTAGTTTACCTAAATCACTTGCCGTATGGCTTATCACTCCAGTAACATCAATCAACCATGTTGCACAGTACCTAGTCTGAAAATAAATGGTCAGGTAACTACATATGTCTTTAATGCAATACATATTAACCAATCACACTTTGAATCAAGATGAAAAAACTAATTAGAGCAAGCTGGTCCAAACTATCAAAAATAAATTGTCAGTAACATAGAAGCTTAGCCAAAGCAATAAAAAGAGCACTATTAAAAAAAAAAAAAGCCCGTACTGCAAGCGTGCTGATTTAGAAATGCTAAGCAAAAACTACAAATAGCACCAATATATAAATGTATATATGCATACATGTATAAGCAGACAATGACAACAAAAGAATACCTAAGAATTTATTTATTTTTTAATTAAAAAAGATGGTAGGATAAACAGAGAATGTAAAAGAGGCATGTGTTGCGAAAGAGGAAGTGTCTAGTGAAAAAAGCCATGTATGTGCTCTTTTTTTTTTTTTTTAACATATTTTACATCAAACACCAAAAAAACTGGAAATAAAGTGTATGAATAGAAGTGAAAAATATGACTGTGAAAAGGAGACTGGAGAGACATACAAATATGAAAACCAAGAACTGCAGAAGAAACTAGCAAAAAGGGTGAGTAGATATTAAAAGTTGCTGGCCAAAAACCATAAACATGACAGTGAAAAAAACAAAAAAAGACAGAATAGAAAATAAATGTATTAGACAAATATATATATATACACATACATATATACATACACACAAATGTGTATATTGATAATAGATTGAGAATGAAAGGTGCTGCCCTAAAAAAAAATAAAAAGATTATGTCTGTTAACATTAAACAGGATGACAAGAGAAGGGGTAAAATGCCATGAGGAAAGGCAAAGGAAGATGAACAGAAAATGAAAGTGCTGCAACAACAACAAAAAAATCTAATGAAAGTGAGGGCAAAAAAAGAAAATAAAAGAGAAAAAAATAGATTTAAAAAAAAGGACATAAAATATATATGAGGGGGGGCGCGAGGCTAGCAGCCGAGCTCTATGGCAGCACATTAGGACAGCTCCTGAGCAAACCGGAGAAATATCGCCGATAACGGAGGTAAAATTAAACATGGGGAACCACAAAAAGGCTCAATCGAGCGCCCAACACACCGGGAAGACCCGGGCAGGAAAAACTGGTACTGTAACCCATCTGTTTAAAGAATATGCCGACCGCGTGTCGGACATCGGCAATTCCAATATGGCACAGACGGCGGCTAATGCAGACTCGAACCCGCCGTGCCCCTCAGCATCTGAAATCTCTCACACCTCAACAGACATGTATATAAAAGAAATCCTAAGAAGTCTCACTTCAAAAAACGATTTAGCACAAATGCTAAGCAGACTAGAAACAACCTTTCAGCATAAAATGGACGGCCTCAGCTCAGACCGCAGGGTGCAGGGTTTAGAGGATGCATGCCCTATCAGCTAAAGTTCAAGCCCATGAACGACAGCTATCCATGCTACAGCGGTCCCTGGATGATATTGACAACAGGGGCAGAAGGAATAATTTGCGCATGAGGGGCCTACCTGAGGCTGAAGGGGAAAACCTATACACCACCCTTTCCACACGATTCAACCTCATCCTGGCCCGCAAATCTGACACCCCGGTTGTTTTGGACAGGGACCCACCATTCACTAAAACCCAAAATGGGGACGGGAGAAATACCAAGAGATATTATATGTCGCATCCACTATTTTGCACTCAAAGAAGAGATACTGAGAAAATTAAGGGACACCTCCATTCCAATGCTATACCACGGCCATGAAATACAAATATATCAGGATCTCTCATGGCACACACTGCAAGTAAGAAGAGCCCTAAGGCCCATAACGGATCAACTACGCACACGTAACCTAAGATACAGATGGGGCTTCCCCTTCGCCCTTATAATCAACACCCGTGGATCCACTTACACGATCGCAACTCATTAAGACATCATCCCATTCACCAAAGCGCTAAATCTGGCAGAAACCTCTATCATGGACTGGTACGCACCAGATCCAGCCTCATCGGCCTCGTCAGCAAGGTGCAAGATGGAGATCCCCAGCGAATAGACAAAGAACAAACCCCATAGGAACTCCTCAGCGGGAAGAGAGAAGAACAGGCGATATCAGGAAAGACTAAAACAGACTCCCATAGACATCCCCAGATGAACCATCATATTTCCTGTTTCCCTTACGAACTTTCTTACCACACACACAGTTCCAGATACCGTACATAATACGGTCCTTGTACTAACTTGGACATTTGACAACCACATTGAACCAGTCGGGGTTGAGTACAGACACCCCCGGACAAGAAAAGCTCGGCTAGATTCATCATTGAAGGTTGTGTGTATATATATATATATATATATTAAGCTGTATTTACCCAAATTTGGGAACAAAATGTGATCTATTATTGACATATCAATGTTGACCCCTAACCACTCATACCCTAGACATAAGGTAGATCACAGGGCTTCACACACCTTCGACGACAATGACGGATCTGAAAGGGTCAAACCAACAGGGCCGGGGACTGGTTTAGACTGGTTCTGACTGAGAGGAAGGAACTGATCATAACCAACCCGGAAACAAGCTAAATATTGTAGGAAATGGGAAATCAATAATATGAAAAACTTTTTTAAAAAGAATGATAATAGACATGCATTTCATGTCCCCCACATCGGGGATTAGACCTAACATCGCTTCATCCCACACGTTCTCATCTCCCCTAACCTCACACACTAATGATGCACACAAACCTCCAAGAAGCAACCACAACCTACCAAGCGATACTCCGTGAGCTCACTTAAAAGCTCGTCACACTTTAGACATTGAACTAACCTGGAGACAATTGACAGCCAAAACAAAAAAAATAAAATAAATATAAAAATTAAATAAAACAAATATAAGGTGCCTGCCTGACACCAAAAGCTGTCCAATAAACTCCGCTCGTACATAATCACACCTGCTCCCCTACCTCATTACTATCAGGGTCATTCAAAGTTAGCCCTCTGTAGACTACGGGAATTCTCAGGGGCAGACCCCAGGTATCCTACAGTTGATCGGACGCAACAACCCACATTCCATAATAACTTAAAAAACCAAACACACGACTGACTCACCGTATTGTATAAAGTTTTGTTTGTTTATATTGTAATACCTAAATTGTTATAGTAATAACTTCCTGCTGGTCTTTAGCACTCAAATAACTCGATAACTCGCTTGGTTATATACTGCAATCACTGTATACTGTATGCGACTGTCCAAGGTGTAAACAGGTTTATTTTAGCAAACTTGGCACCACACTCCACTTGGCAATGGCAGCCATATCCGTTTTATCCCACAACGCCAGGGGATTAAACACCCCCGGAAAAAAGACACTTAGCTCTCACAGATTACCACAAACGTAAGGCTGAGGTAGTCTTTATACAGGAGACACTTTTCCGAAAAGATTCAGCCCCATCTCTTAGATCCAGACACTACACGAAGGGATACTGAGGAAATTACACAGAATCAAAGTCTAGGGGTGTAGCAATCCTCCTCTCACATACAAAGAACATGTCGGATGACAACGGTAGATATATATTCTTGAAAGGCCAAGTAGGATCAACATCAACAACATTTGCAAAAATATATCTCCCTAATAGAAAACAATTTGAGGCATTACACGTGATAATCAAAAAACTAGAGAGCTTCACAGAAGGCCTTCTGATCTTAGGGGGAGACATCAACATCTCACTAGATGGGGCACTAGACACGACATCACACACTCAATCATATCAAACATCCACGAGAGGGCTGATCCAAAAACTCCTAGATGCACACCAACTATATGACTGTTGGTGAATAACACACCTGACAGAACGAGACTATTCATATTACTCGTACTCATCAGGCACATACTCGAGAATTAATGTTTCTTCTCCCACACAGATTTTTAAACCTGGTCAATACCTGCGAGTACGCCTCTATCACGTGGTCTGATCACGCCCCAATATCCTTATCCATTACAGTCTGTGACGAGAGCAATCTAGCCACATTGCATTGGAGAAGCCTGGTTGCTTGCCTGTTGCCTTTAGACTATGGCCCCATGTTAAAAGACATCTTTTTTTACTTGCAGAAAAGGTTTATTCGTTCTTTTCTGCCTGGTGTTCGGTAGATTCAATCTACAGAACAACCGCACGAATGACTGGACCACCTGGGAGCTGGAGTGTGCCGGCAATTAGCCTCCCTGAAGCTGCGGTTAACCGCAGCTTAATTGACAAAGCTGGGTGGCCGCCATTCGTATCACAAACATGAGGTCGCGGCCATTTTAAACATGCGAACTGCCAGCGGTGTTCGACGCTTAATTCATGGAACTGAAATCGGACACAGTTTTGCGCGAACACCGCTAAAGCCGCCGACCTCCCTTCTTGGTCGGTGAAAGTGCACGAACGGCCCGGTGTTCGGTAGTTTTACTTGAATATGTTATACCCCAGATAGGAATCCCATGGAGCTCATTCGCATGAGAACTGACTGTGTAAAGACTTTGGCTCCATGGCGATTAAACTGTATTCGTGTGGTCTGAGCGCCATTCGCTTAATAATGTGCGCTCAGACCTGAGCTATCTGGGGATATGTTAAATGTATGCTTTTAATGTTAAGTGTCTTACATAGTGCATTTTAATAGTAATTCGTGTTGTAGTATCCCCATGTGCATAATGGCGATTTGCCTTTGTCTTGGGAGATAATTGAATTACTTCTCAATTATGTCCAAGGCAGAGGGGAGGAAGCCAGGATGCATTGTGGGAATATAAGGTGACTGTGTGTCCTATTTGTCTACTTGTCTGTCTTTTGTCACAGTCTCCCATTTGGTCCCCTAGGGGAGTGTCCACCAGGTGGGAGACCTGCATAAATACTGGGCAGGTAGCCCTCATTAAACAGGCCACTGCTTGACCCTCAAGCAGTGGCCTGTCTCATCTTTGGGGGGATTTACTGAACGCTGATAGAGACTGATTGCTAGGAGTGTAAGCCGCTTTGATGCTTTTCCTATTCGTCTGCTAGCAGCGATTTGTATGGTTCCAGTTCGTGTGTTTGGAGTGCTATATTGGATGCCGTTCGGGAGTTTGGAGCATTCCCTTATTTGCGGTTCGTGAGTTTGGTGTTTTACAATAGCTGGGCCTGCATCTCTGGAAAGGGGGACGATCACCTAAACGTTTTTTACCCCTTGTGTGCACAACGGTCCGTTACACAGTCCCTTCCTTACACCCAACCAGGACACAATGGAAACTAAATGACACCCTACTAAACCACCCAGAGATCCAAAACCAAATTAGGGAATCACTGACCCAATACTTTGAACTCAACGTACTACCAGACTCCTAATATTCCATAATTTGGGAAGCACACGAAAGCACAATCAGAGGCACAATTATCCAAGCAGCCTCAAAACTCAAAGCAACGGGAATCCCGTACTTTAACCCTAACCAGGGAGATCACGGAGCTGGAAGGGACACACAAAAAAGACCTAAAATTGGCTACATACAAATCACTGGTCGAGAAAAGAACCGAACTGAACACTATTCTCAATGTTAGCACCAAACACGCACTAGCTAAAACCAGAAGCAACTACTATGCAAATGTGGGCGACTTCTGGCAACGCACTAAAAAAACAAAGGGAACACGCATTTATAGCAGCCATCCGAAACACAGAGGGACGACTATTGCACTGAATGACTGACATTCTCAAAGCATTTAAAGACTATTACTCATCACTTTACAACCTCAGACAAACACCCCCCTCCACAACAGAAATCCACAATTTCCTTTCGCAAAGAATACACTCCACCCTTCCACAAAATATTCGGGAATCTCTAGACCAACTTATCTCAAAAGATGAATGCTTAGACACGATCAAACACCTCCCAACAGGGAAGAGCCCTGGCCCAGACGTTCTAACGGCCAAATATTACAAGAATTATGCCGCCATACTAGTACAGCACTTCCAAAATTTGTTCAATTCACTGCTCAAAAATGACAATCTCCCCCCAAGCCTTAAACGCAACAATCACACTGCTTCCTAAACCGGGAAAAGACTTGACCCAATGTGGACGCTACAGGCCGATCTCGTTGATAAATATAGATTTGAAACTCATCACAAAAATATTGGCTAATAGATTACATCCTCTACTACCAGGACTTAACCACGCAGATCAATCAGGCTTCATCCCGGGCAGAGAAGCCAAACACAACACTACAAAATTACTAAACCTCATACAACAAGCCACGAGAGCGGGGCGCCCAAGTCTACTCCTGTCAATTGACACCAAAAAGGCGTTCGATAGGGTGGACTGGTCCCTGATCTCACATACCCTACAACGTATGGGCTTCGGTCCACATTGACAAAAATGGTTCGACGCAATCTACTCGAACCCCACAGCGAACATTTGCATCAACGGACAACTGTCCGAGCCAGTAAAAATAACAAATGCACCAGACAGGGATGCCCCTTATCACCTCTCCTGTTTGTCCTGGTTTTCGAGCCCTTCCTTCAGGGAATTAGGGACAACGTGCACATCAGCGGAATCACGGCTGGCTCAGGAGAACACAAGATAGCAGCGTTTGCTGACGATATGACCTTTACAATCTCCGACCCCATAACATCTATTCCCCCTTTGATGGCTGAGATGACCACCTACAGTTCCATCTCCAACTTCAAGGCAAATCTCTGTAAATGTGAGATTTTGTCACAACATATTAGCCACCAAGAAAAAACTAATATTCAAAAACAACACCAATTTGTTTGGGCCACACACAGCACAAAATACCTAGGAATACACCTTACCAAAGATACATCCCATCTATTTGAGAGTAACTTTCCTAATCTTATGAAAGACATAGCCGCAGATCTCAATGCATGGAATAAGCCACAATTTGGATGTTTCTGTAGGCTAAACATCTTAAAAATGAACATCCTGCCCAGAATATTATACTTACTACAAGTCTACTACTGCCCAAGGCATGGTTCACACTAGTCCGAAAAACACTCACAACGTACATATTGTCAAATAAAAATCCACGACTAGCATACTCACTACTTATAAGACCAAAGAAGAGGGAGGCCTGGGTCTACCAGACATAGAACACTACCAACAAGCAGTCCTCCTAGAATTTACGATTGGACACTCCCACACTCCTCCACACAATGGGTGACAATAGAAAATTCATTCTTTAGAGCACCCATTTTTACAATACCCTGGCATAAATCGGGACAAGAATTCCTATGTCACAATCCCCACCCAACCATCACACCAACACTCCGCATGTTGGCCAGAATACACCACCTGATATCCTCCTACCCATCCCCGCTGTACCCTATTATGCACAACCCGTTGTTCCAACCAGGGGAAGACGGCAGGACGTTCAAACACTACCCCCATTCAGATTACCTGCAATTAGGGGACCTCATAAGTGACCAAATAAAACCACTACGGGACCTTACAGACAAACAAAATGCGATGCAATTATTCCTATATAGACAACTCACCCATTTCATCCACACAGGTCCTTTAGCGCATAAACCATACCGAGCTAACACACGATTTGAACAACAATGCAAGGAACACTTATTAAAGAAAAAATGTATCTCAGTGATGTACAAAACAGTAGCACAAACGCAACCTCACCACCCACCTGCCTTCACCACAACGTGGGAGAAAGAACTTAATACCAGTATAGTTCCAGACACTTGGCGCCTCATATTTAAACAAATACACGGATCTTCCCGAAACACAATAACCCAAGAGGGAAATCACAAAAGGATAGCGAGGTGGCACTATACACCATCAAAACTAAAATCACTCTTTCCTGCACTCAACAACCTCTGTTGGAGGTGCCATGCTCCCGATGGAAACACCACACACATCTGGTGGACATGCAAGGTCATCAATAGTTACTGGAAATGAATACATGGTCTATTACAAACAGTATTAAACACACACATCCATTTACGCCAGAAACTCTCTTGTTCCTTATACTGCCCCAAACAATACCGAAACGGAAGGCAGCCCTGCTAGTGCACCTAATATCTGCTGCAAATCACCTCATCCCCAAACTATGGAAGCAATCAAACCCGCCCTCTATCCGCGAATGGATCCAAAGAGTAGAAACGATACGTGGTCTAGAAGAAACATGCTATTCCATAACAGAAAAATACCAAGTTTATACAGACACTTGGCAACCCTGGTGTGAGTTCCTCAAAAACCACTCATCATAGATAACACGACTCTGTTGAACACTGGCCCAAATGGCTGACTCCAAACTCTTCTTCCTACTCCCCTTCCATAACCCACACCCCAGGTACCCAGAATCCCCCCATACCAATACAGTGATATACACTCTCTACTGGACAACTTCTCTTAGTGAATTGAATAGCATCATATGGGGGCGACAGCCCCAAATTTGAAACAAACAGCGAGACCCATGACCAAAATCTTAATTAACTGTTAGTATGACTACATAATTGTGATAATCGTTATTCAATGTTATCCATTGCTTTATGTAA